TTCATCTTCTTTATCCCCTGATTCTATGCAAAGTGTTGAGTTCGCAAGTCCCTTCCGCTCCATCAGCGAAGGCCTTGCGTTCCTAGCTCGTGACACCACACCTTACTCGATGGAGATTCTCACCCCTGCGGCCGCCAGTTCGGGCCCCACCACGCAGTCAGACCCTGTACTAGCCATCCTCCAGCACGTACGGGCCACATTCGAGGCCAAATTCACGACCATGCAAACCAACTTCGATACTTTGTCGGACCGACTGTTGTAGATGGAGTCGCGTGCCACCACACCTCTCTCCTCTCTTCCCCCCCCCTTCTCTTCTCACACACATCTTCCTAGTGGATCACACCTCCTAGTGGGTCACATCTTCCTAGTGGATCACACCTCTTAGTGGATCATACCTCTTTCCCTCTCTCTCTCTTTCTGTTATTGTTGTTACCGTATCATATAACTTACACTTGCGACGATCTGGTTGGGAAGTGGGAGCCATATACGAAGACGTTGTGGCCGTCTTCTGGCGTAAGTGGCACCCACTTCCCAACCGTGTTAAATGTGGGGTTCTTTGTGTATTTGCTGTCCATATTGCATTGCAACTCTCTCTCTCTCTCTCTCTCTCTCTCTCTCTCTCTCTCTCTCTCTCTCTCTCTCTCTCTATTATTGTTGTTACCGTATCACATAACTTACATTTGGGACGATCTGGTTGGGAAGTGGGAGCCATATACGAAGACGTTGTAGCCGTATTCTGGCGTAAGTGGCACCCACAACAGAAAAAAATTCCGGTCTTCCCAGTTATGTTTTTATACATCCTTGTGTTGAAAATTAGTTGACTGTATCGAGTAACAACAGTTCTCTAACATACACCGGTTTTTAACCTTGACCGATAAACAGACATGTGTTGAACCATACTTCAACACAAGAAACGTTCATGACTTCGCTGCGGACTTCCAAATCAATATGACAAACATTTTTCAACGTTGTTCCAACGTTCGATCCTCTGTTAAGTCATTTGTGGTTATACTGTATCCCTGGTATGCGCGCACGTTTGGGAATTAGTTGTCCAACTCATTGCAATGTCTGAGCAACATTAAGATATCGTAGTGAAAAAAACATATATCGTTTAAAAATAGTTGGAACTCTCAGTGTGACAATCAATATAGATTCGTCGCGACACTTATCTTTGCTTCTCTCTCTCTCTCTCTCTCTCTCTCTCTCTCTCTCTCTCTCTCTCTCTCTCTCTCTCTCGTTCTCTCTCTGCGTATGTGTGTGTTTCACAATATCTATTTGTCGTTACATCACAAGAGGAATTGGCGTCTATAAGGTTATGTATTTTATTTGGTCGTGAAAACCTCTTAACGGATGCAAATATCGCAATCATCAATATTTTCTTTGGCAAAATAGAAATCCGACACACCATATCCATTGTACCTGTTACATTCAATCCACACTGAGGCACTTTAAACATGACCACGAATGTGCTTTGTCTACTTAAAAAAAAAAAAAAAAAAAACAAATTGCACAACGCTTGAGACATTCCATAGTTGTCTTTGTTGTTCATTCACCCCAACTAGCATAACAATACACAATACACCTGTAACACATGTCTGCAAAATCATGTCATCGTACCAAACACACATCACACCGATTCTGTCTCCTTTATTTGTTTCCTGTCTCTTTCTACATACCTCTCTCTCTCTCTCTCACTAGTTGACGATATCATATTCAACTCGAATGACCTCTTGACATTTATCTCGCCGTACACGAAGTCCAAGTACTGTACAAAACGTACAAAGTACAAATATCATAGATGTCATCTCTCTCTCTCTCTCTCTCAATCAATCAATCAATCAATAGTCCACAATATCATATTCAACTCTCACGACGTCTTCACCACCACCTTGCTGTATGCGAAATCAAAGTATTATGCGGAAATGACAAAATACTAATGTCACAAATGTCCTAAGGCCTCTCCTGGGCAATCACCTCGTCACTATCTACAAAAAATTCGAAAAATCTATGATCATTCTTCATTTCAACGACCTCATGTTTTGCATTATTTCTGCCAACAAAATGTCGTTCCCATATATTCCTTGAACTCTGCACTACGGTTTTATCACGATCGAGAGAGATCACATTTATAGTCACTTTTCCGATACCGGTCTTGCAAGTTGACATGATGACTTCTTCTATTCTTCGCATTTCCTTGCTCGCTGCTGCCGTGCGTGCGGGTTGACTTTTGTTGCTGATGTGACACTCTAACACCATATGAGCGAATGCGAGTTGTTGGAGAGTGCAACCATTTCGACCTGCTTCGTTCCAATCTCTGTATAAAACGTCTCGCACGACATTCTTAAACTCTGTTGCGCCCCACGGCTCTTCGCCTTTCACTCTCCACGATGATTGTTCGAGCATTTTCGTCCTCATCTCCTCTCGCTCTTTTTCAAAACGATCTCTTACAGTTCCGCATGGATAAGGCAGCCCCGCGGCGCTCCAAAAAGCCCGGACAATGTCGTAAGCGATCTCTCCTCTGATGTTCGTTAACTCCCTTGATCCGAGTGTGCGAAGTGTTGTCGGTGTTGTGCTCTTCATCGACTGATCTACAATGAATCGTGTGTCCGGATCCAGAAATTCGGTGAGACCCCTGAAGGATTCGAGATATGTGTCGACTGACGGATACATCTCTGCATCCTTGGCTCGAGATAAACAAAAGCCCTTCGCTACGCAACGCATCAATTGCTTCACTATTTTGGAGTGTGCGTATAACGTGTGGATGTTGTCACTAATGCGGTTGTTGAGCTTGCTTTTCTCCGACGCATCCCGTTTTTCGCGTCCTCGCATAACTAAACAGACACAGAGGACGAGCACACAGAGACAGAAAAAAAAAAAAAAACGGAAAACGCAATTATTATGCTGGTCACTTTTATATGTTCATTAAGCACGTGAAAATCATAAACGAAAATGCAAACAGGAGAATCGTTTTCAATGTTGTTGTCTTTTTCTTCCACATTTTTTTAATGCCACAAACAATTTTACAGGATTTCACACAATGTTTTACCTATTGCTTTCTCGTTTGTGAAGTGTGCGTCGTTCTCGTCATCCTCTTCACGACCGTCTTCATTATCATCATCCTCGTCTTCATTCGATTCACGTTCACCAAAATCGTCGTTTTCTCTGTTGTTCTCGTCCTCTGAATTGTCCTCTTCCGTATTTGCTTCTTTTTGCTCCAGCTGCTCGTCTTCGCACTCTGTCGATGATGGTTGTCAACATTCTCGTTCCACATGCCACTGCCTGTGCTGAATGTCGCGACCTCCAATGTGCTGAATGTCGTGACCTCCACTGCTCTCGCCCGCCTGCCGACCACAACGCATGCTGCCTTCGATATCCTCACCGCTTCCTTCTACTTCTGCACTGTCCACAACAGTCGCTTCACCCTTGTTGTGCTCCCGTTTCTTTTCCGTTACATACTTACTTGGAGTAAGAAGGGTTGCTCCGACCTGCATTTTCCTACGTACTGTCTTCGACTTTGGAGTATACTTCGAAGACTCTTCCCTGCGTCGGATGTCAATGTCGTTATCTCGCTTCTCTGTTTCTTCCATCTGCAATTTTCGTTTGCTCGCTTCGCGGTGCATTTCGACCAAATTTCTCCTCCAACACTCCGTTCTTATTTGTACACTCTTCACTTCTTCAAATGTTCCATGTCGTGTTATATCTCGAACTTTGTTTCGTTTCTGTACGAGACGTGCACCGTCATTCGTCTGCTATCGTGACACCCCTTCTTCTCGAACGTAGAGCCTTCGTTGCGTCGATGTCCCTGTAACATCAGGCCCTCGGCGAGGCCGTAATGTGTGCTTGTCCATTGGTGGCAAGTACTTCGTCTATATCGCTCGCCGATTCTGTGAAGAGGAAGAAGACACGTAACATAGGACATGAAAAATTTGTCATTACTGAAATTTCATCTCAGCAGGGGGGCTTTATCTCGACCCTACTTTTCGTTAACAAAAAATACGTATTTTCACATTACATATGCAATGATAAATTTGTGGACTCATGTTAAAAATTTCACCTACCTTGTCTTGTCTTTATCATTGTTTGCGTACTTGTTCTATGTTTCGACTAACGAAATCTACGAGTCGCCGCACGTCCATATCTTAGCTCATCTCTTCAAGTGCGTGCTTCATCATTTTGTCGATGCCTTCCTCCTGCTTGATGCAAACTTCTTGAAAATAGCGTACTTGTCATTTGTTGTCTGTGTTCCGCATGCCGCGGGGTATGACTCCGCCAAAGCCTTGATCATTATGTGTCATTGCTCACAAGGCTTTCTTGACAACAAACGTTCGCAAGCCTTCGTCATTGTGTCTTTCATGAACTCGAAGTCTTCGTCGTTTGCCATGCACATAAGAATGCTCTCAACATTCCTCGTGGCGAATACACCGCAATCGTTTGAGTTCCGTTGTTGCTGGGAATCAATCTCGTCAATGAAAGATACACCTTGCATTAATGCTTTCCATGTCGATTCAATGGTCGCGGTCGTAACTTCAACATCAGCTGAATACCGTAACACCATATGCTCGTAAAAGAAATAGGCTAATAAAGGTTCAAACGGAGGACTGCCCAATAGTTTCTTGGAGTTAAGGTGGAAAATGACGCAGCCTCTTGGTTGGTCGAGATGTGGATGTTGTAGCATGCGTCCTATGTTGTTCAACACAAGAATAGTAAAATGGTTATTGCATATCAGAGGAACAATAACTACTTGATTTTCCCACAAACTCCTCATGCTTTTTGCCTTCGACTTTGAACTTCGTGTTACCGTCTCCAGATCAGGAGGGCTGCTCAAACTCGCGTTCTTGTGGAGCCCCTGGATTCCGTTGTACCATAGAGCAGGCAACAATTTAACGTGTGAGAGGTCAACAGCCTTACGTGTGAGTGAGTCATATACGTAATGACAGTAAAAGTCAACGATATTTGTCGTCAACCACTTGCCCGCTCCCAGACATTGGAGATCTTGTACTCTTAATGTGAATGATTCATTGTTGAGGGGGTTCCATGTGAATGGAAAAAATTTGTGAACTGTATCAACAGTTGCTGCCACCAACTTCTGGTCCATAGATTGTGTTTTCTCGCCCTCCTCTGTGTCTGCATCGAAATACAATACGGCTCCGGTTCCTTCATCCTTCTCTTGCGGCTTCTCTGGGGTTACTTCCCCCTGATGTCTTTCCTTCGTGTTCTGGCAATATCTCCATCTTCTCAACTGTTGTCTTGTCCTCCATAGCAATGTCATCCAAGCCTCCCAGAAGATTCGAAGCCGGTTGTAGAGCAAGATTTGCACAATCTGTCTCACCATGGTCGACTTCAATTCTCGTACGCAGTTCACATTCCACCATCAACGTCGGCTGTTCATTTGTTTTCACTCCATCGAGGTTCGTCTTTGCCTCATTTCGCTCTTCTGTTATCATATGACCTTCAAACTCTTGCGGCCTCTCTGGGTTATTTCCCCCTGATGTCTTTCTTTCGTGTTCTGGCAATATCTCCATCTTCTCAACTGTTCTCTTGTCCTCCACAACAATGACAGCCAAGCCTCCCGGAATCGAAGCCGGTTGTAGAGCAAGTCTTGCACAATCTGTCTCTTCATGGTCGACTTCAATTCTCGTACGCAGTTCACATTTCACCATCAACGTCGGCTGTTCATTTGTTTCCACTCCACTGAGGTTCGTCTTTGCGTCATTTCGCTCTTCTGTTATCATATGACCTTCACACTCTTGCGGCCTCTCTAGGTTACTTCCCCCTGATGTCTTTCCTTCGTGTTCTGGCAATATCTCCATCTTCTCAATTGTTGACTTGTCATCTACAGCAATGTCAGCCGAGCCTCCCAGAAGATTCGAAGCCGGTTGTAGAGCAAGTCTTGCACAATCTGTCTCACCATGGTCGACTTCAATTCTCGTACGCAGTTCACATTCCATCATCAACGTCAGCTGTTCATTTGTTTCCACTCCATCGAGGTTCGTCTTTGCCTTATTTCGCTCTTTTGTTATCATATGCTGACTTGTTGTGCTGACTCTCACTTGGCAGTCTTCTCTGATCTTGTCAATTGCAGATGACTCTAACCTCGGCGTGACCACTGCTTCATCATTCTGTGTTGCATCTTTTCTGACTGTGTGCATGAACTTCTCTCTGCTAGTGAGGTCTTCACGTGTTACAGACACACTTCCATCGTTTGTATTCTTTTAATTTGTGTTCTTGCAGATGTGTGAGAATACAGACTTCATGACATCTTCTCCTACATTGACCTTTTCAATAACTTCTTTCCCCGTCGCCCATCCCTCTCTGTCTTCTGTCCCTTTCACTTTCTCTCTCAATCTCTCCGATTTTTTGTCGTGTGTTGCTAATTTTTTTTCATGCCGCATATCTCGCAATGTCTCTTTCTCACTGTCACTTTCTAACATCCCTCGATTGTGTTTTCTTGGTGAATGAAAAATGGTAGCAAAAGGCAACGGTATGAGATTCCAGGCAGTTACTGATAATGACAACATAGGTTTGTGGTACATCCTTTGTATTGTCTCGTCCGTCAATGTCTTCCTGAACTTCGGTACGATCTTCTTGGCTGTCGTGAAATTTCTGACACGTTTCGATTCTTGAGTTCTCGACGTCGATGCTTTCTCTACACAGCATTGAACTTTGTTTTTTGACATTTCTTGTTTTTCCAATACTTGACCGCGATTGGAGGTCGTGTGCTTGCGAGCCGTTCTGCCTCCTTTCCCTTTCCACGTTCCCGATCGTGCAACTCCTTTATTTTCTCCCAGATTGTTCTCATTACTTTTGCATGTTTGCAGTTCACTTGCACCATCTCCAGTTTTCGGTTCACTGGTTACCCTTATCCTTCGACGCGGTGTCTTGTGTAGAAATTTTTCTGCTCCCTCCTCATTTCTTTCGCTATTTGTACCTCGTTCAGGCAACGATGCCATTATTGTACAATAGTTACACCTGCAGAATAAGATGCATTTTATAATAAAAACGTATAAGTCAGCAGAAGAAGACTTGGAGACAGTCTTATATAATTGTTGTGAACCGGTTAACGAAAAAAAGACCTTCTTCTATTGTTGCTCGGTCTACATCATGACTAAACGCCGCTCGTTTGAAGTATGGTACAATATGTTCCGGTTGAATTATTGTGTCTATATCGATGATGCTACTCATTTGCACGCCTCTGTTCCTCTCCCATTCCACCAATTTACATGACGTTCGATTTGTGAAGTTCCTCGTGCAGTCTTTGTACCATTGAACAAATGCACATTCCGTCTTGAACATTTGTCTTCCTTTTGTGGTTTGAAGCACAAAAAACATTGTCACAGAAGTGTACCAAATGTCGTTATCGAGACCCCTTACACTCACATCACTCCGTACCTCACGACCATGAAACGAGTTTGTCGCTCTAGCGACTCGTGCATCTGCTCCTTGAATAAAGCTATCGAGTGTGCAAGCAAGTGCGACATGTGGTCGGGGACGTATGACAGTGCGGTCGTGAACTTCACCGAGGTTTTACTCCGTCACGTATGAACGCACACATTGTTGAAATTGAAGTCGTTGTGGAAGGTTTAGCAGTAAGCGAGCAACTTCTGGTGACGTTGACCTTATGCGGCGAAGAATATCGTCATCGCTCAGAGCAAACCACCCCAATCTCAATACGGCCATGTCGGTTGTGACAATTACATTACGACCTATTTTCTCTGCCTCCAAGACCGCTGACCAATTTTCTTCCTCTCTGTTTTTCTTCCTTCTCACAACGGATACGTGTTCTTCTAAAATATCTGCTCGTACAACGTGGTACACCATTTGCTTTAAAGGATCTCTTCGATTTGATGCTTTATAAGGATCTTTGCAAAAGCGAATATGGTTGTGTTCCCAAATGTTTGCTGCAAAAGTGTTTGGGATCCCTGATCGTTCTACAGCCATTCTGAATTTATTCAAATCATGCATTTTTGCTATATTCTAATTTGACTTCTGCAGATGTATGAAACGCATATTTGTATAAGTCATAAAGTCTTCGAGCAGAGCGTCACATCTATCTAAGGAATGCTTCGTGTGTTTAACAACGCGAAACATGTTTATGTAGTATTCGAAAAAAATATCACACCACTTCACAAAGTCATGTCCTTCTACATTGTTCAGGAAGTTGTGCACAATGAATAATAAGACGGTCATCACGGCACAATTTTGCTTTGCTTCAAACCGTCCCTCTCGTGTAAAATAGTCTACCCCCGTTGTTACCGACAATATAAGTTTTTGAAACGTGACAATCCCTCGATTGCTTACGCACTTTAAACGAGCATCCAGCTCTCCAAGCATTCCAACGGTGTTCTGAAATGGTTTGCATATATTCTTTAAGGCTTCAACAATGTATTAAAAAATACCGTGATCTACTGTGCGCATTCGGTTTGGTTGCAGTGCGTAATGGTAATCTAACATCAGAATGTCACCGCAACGACCTTGATAAAAACCCCACAAACCATTCACTACATCGTCACTATGTATCCCCCAGTCCAGCGCTCTCTTCATCGCTGTTGCACGAGCGTCGGCATCAGAACCATCATGTACTCCCTGCAATATATCACGATCCACGTTTTCAGTCCGTACAATCGTGCCGCAGTCCATATGTTCGTGTAAGTTCTTGCTCGGTACAATGCAATTTGGACATCTGTCGTTCTTTACAAGCGTCAGAAGACCTCTCTCTGGATGATCTTGCACATAGTTCAACAACAACGGATGTACTGTAACCTCCCCGTATCGTGGGAGGTTAAGTTTCATACCGTCATGAGAGACCTTTTTTGCATCCTTCAATACAATAGTCAGACTCTCATGGAATACACACTTTTTGTGGCGAACAAATGCAGATGAACTATGAGTCCAACCTTGTGTGTACGGCAAAGTATGAAGAATTGGCAAGTATGCGAACAAAGTTGCTCGTTCTGGCTTATCAGCGAGTGACAACATCAGAGGATACATGCTTGTTTTCATGCAACCATCTACATTCGTTTTGTCGGAATACAAAATAAATGACAGAACATATCTTACGCGTCCATTTCTACCTAATCCTTTGTCATTTCGAACTATGTCTTGTGCTTGTCTCCAAAACTGTGTCGATTTCGCATTCGTAAACACCATGTTTTTTTCATGACATGTTGAGTCTGCCTCTAGCGTATAGTTAGTGTCGTTTATTAGTGCGTCTCGAATCACAGTCTCAAATGCTACATCCCATTTTCTCACGCAAAGTCCAGCCTTCGCTTCTCCCGGCCAATCATCTGTCCTCGTATCAATGTGCTCCCAAGATTTGTCTGCATACTTCCCGCGTAACCAACCTTTTAACGTGCGAGAATTTCTATATGGTAGTCGGCTAGCATCGAAAGAAGGGTGACATATAACGGAGAGCACGACATTCACATCTGCATCTGACAATCCCAACCCTCCTCTCGCAGAACATATCACTGTAGCGAGACGATAATCCGATGGATATTCATTTTCATCTGTGTTGTTTGCATCTTCTGCAATATCATCAATGATTGGTTCGACATTCTCGTGCATGTCCATATTCACGGCATTATCATTTTGTTCGTTCTCTGAACTCATGTTGTTAGCATCACCAGTAGTTCCAGTACGTTGTATCTCAGCTAAGCACCCCCTCGATCTGTGCGACTCCATGAAGCTTGTACGACTGAATATGCGGCCATACTCGTAGCACGGGACAACATTCCTGCTGTGCCTCGACATTTGCGTATCATATGGTCAAGAATACGCCACGGTTATCTTCCTGTAATACAACTGCATCATTGATGCAACAAACATAAAATTGACCGTCATATATTAATTGTTTACTTTATTTATGAACGACGATCATTTATTATTCACAACTAAGACAAGAGGACGCATTCACAATATTTTTTAAGCAATTCATTCATAAAAAATATTTTTGGATGTGTATGAAAATACTTCTATTTCCAAATTGAAAAACCATAAACAAGTCGTTCATAGATTGGATTATATACGAAACTCAACCCTGCTTAAAAATGAAAACTTTCCACGGAAGAATGATCGCTTCAATCCTCCTCGCAAGCACTACTTGCATTTCTCTTACCCTTCACAGGTCCGCCGCTCTCTTTTTCCTGGCTCGCTAAACCTTCCCTCGCCACAGGATTCGTAATCTGTATCCACGACACAATGTCATCACTCTCCGTTCTCTCTTTCTGACCATGACAAAGATCTATCCCTACCTTTGTGAGAAAACCTGCCACGCCGTCGAAACTCTCTAATGCGGCTATCGGCAATTCTCTACTGACTAACACTTGCCAATTTTTTCCACCTTTCGAAATATCTTTGCCTTTTGGATGCAAATAAGAAAGTCTCGACAAAAAATCATACTGTAAGTGTCCGTCTGTTGTAATATCCGTACAGCAAATCAAAATTGCTGAAGGACATTCTTCAAATGTCAACGCGAGACGGAGAACAGCGAGACACCATCCTTTTTGCGGATCACACAAACCGTCCGCGTGATTGTCCCAAAATTTTTGCAGGCTGTCGTTATCGTCATCGTCGTCCATTTCATCATCACAACTCTCTCCCTCATCCTCACTTTCACCAAATCCCATTGCCTTTCGACCTTGATATTTGTAATCCAAAGCAAAATCCATACATGTTAGAGGGGTTGTCCTTCCGCTGTTTACCACGACCGTGTTGTCTGCTCCTTCGTTGGATGTCAACTTCAATGTTTCATCCCTTGCGCTGCATTCTGCAGCCATAACATCCCAACACTCTCTTACAATTTGTGGTACTTCATTCGATCCAGTGTTTGCAAGAGTCTCCAAGGACTTCACAATAGCCTTGTCCACTATAGACTGTGACTCTGAAGATTCAATCGCATTGTATTCCAACAACTCTTCGGCTCCTTCTAATATCTCAACAATACTAGCCAAATAACTAAAAGACATGTGGGCACGACTGGGTAATGGACACAAATTTGTCCACTGCGACAGCATCACGTACTCATTACCATTTGCAATCACACGTGGCAACTCGCACACAGATTGCACGTCCTCTTTCTCTACAACACTTCGCAAGTGTAGAAAAGCAAGTAACTTTTCTAATCCGGGTCTCAAAACGTCACGGAGGTATAAAATATCCATGAGCTAACGCTTTCCTTTTCATATCCCCGTTCCAAGTGCGTTTATCATACACTCCCGACGTCCGTGATTTCGACTTGTCTATTTCGACCTGCTCGTACAACCAATCGACCAGGTCATCAAACTTGTAACATACAATGTTCTCCTCCAAGTCTGTTCGAACAACCTCAGTTTTCAAATTCTCATTGCTTAGTTTCTCCAAAAAAACAAGCGCATGAGAGATGTCATGAGCATGCTGTGCCAATGTCATTTCGCGATCAATGCGCAAATCGAAATATAATGGTATGCAATTTCGCAATTTGTCGAACTCTGTTTCAGTTGTGTAGTCAATGCCTTCCTTTGCATACTTGAGGACCATCTCCACTGCGCGTGTGCATTGTTCATGACTCATCTCCATCTGTCATTCATGCATGTCGTTATAACGATTGTGCAAAAAAACTTGTAAGAAAACTTATTGAACGATTAATAATGGCATAAGTATTTTTTTTTTAATACAATCCACAGACCAATGTCATCCTCTCCAAACTTTGTGCTCGCCATTTGAGAAGGGAGCATGACCGCCTTTCCGACGTTCCTTCCTTCGCCAATGACGCACATGCACAGATAAGAGAGAGAGAGAGAGAGAGAGAGAGAGAGAGAGAGAGAGAGAGAGAGAGAGAGAGAGAGAGAGAGAGAGAGAGAGAGAGAGAGAGAGAGA